TAATTTAATGGTTGAAGTCCAATAGTGGTGCTTGAAACCTACTGGAATGAGACCATTTGAAGAATTAATTTAATCGCCATACCTTGTTGTAGTGCTTGTATAGTCTGACAAAAATTACTTTGGAGAAATCTCAAAGTTTTAGACGAAGTGAGGGGTTTGGTTTTGATAAGGACTTCTACCCAAAATGTCATTTGATGAAAAATACAAATATATCCTTTTTTTGTTGTAGAAAACTAGAGTAGGGGGTAAGTTTGATTTTTCAAATAGAGAGAGTCAAATTGAACTCTCTATTTTCATAGAGTTTAAATAAAAAGTCTATTAGAGATGAAATTTTAGAAATTGACTCTCTAAAATAGACAATTAAGTGAAAATGAAGAGCCTGTTGGAGATGCTCCAAGAATAGTTGTTGTGTTCCACATTAATAAATGAAGACTGAGTTTAAATCTTTTATTAAAAAATAGTGTTTTTGTTTATTCGTATAATAATTTACACTTAGGTCTTATTGAATTTCTCATACTTGAACTTTGGAGCAATATTATTAGAACCTGACCAGTCATCGATCCAGCAAAGGGACCAGGTCAATGGTTCACTGGTTCAACCTGTTATATAATAAAAAAATAAAAATATATATATAATAATTATAAAACATAATAATACTTAATATTTTGAATGAAATAAAGTATTATCAATTCCACATCCCACAATCTCAGCTCACAATTCACAAAATTTCACAAGTGTCTAAAAATGACAGTCATTTCTACACAGATATTGATTCAGAATTCACCGAGTTGGTCACAAAAAACTGCTATAATAACTATTAATTTTTTTGAAAGAATTTTGAAAAGATCCATAGACAACACATACAAAGAAACCAAAGTTATATCTAACTCATATAAAAATTAAAAATGTAGCGATTTAAAAAGTGAGGATAAATTTTTTAGTTTTACCAGTAGGACATTATTCATGCACTATTTGTCGATAGGACACTGCATATGCATCATTTAGGCGTAAGTCATGTTTAATAGTATAATTTGAGTATATTATAGAAGAGAAACATGCTTAGAATGTTAAAACACACATATTGTGCGAATTTGAATCTAAACGAAAATAGTTTCAATAATTAAACAAAAAAAGTATCCCGGGTGGGCCTAGGTAGGACTGGCCAAACCTGGCCACTAGCGAAAATTTATTTTTTTAAAAATTTTTATTTAAAATAATTTTAAGAAATTTGGTTAAAATAAAATGTCGAATTGAGGTATTTTGGAACAAGTTGTAATGTAACGGGGTCCTAAATTCATCAAGGGCAAAATAGTCATTTTGTACATTTGCCCTCCACTATAAACACAGCCCCTTAGTGTAAAAAATATTAGTATTTGGCCTGGAGATAGAGCAGTACACGTTCAAGAGGAAAAGTGAAAAAAAAAAAATCTTATATTCTTCAAGCTTCAAGCCATCAAAACTCATTTCTAGACCAAAATTTTTGCAAGATTTCCTTCTAAAAAATTGTTCCTCTCAACAAGAGTTATATTTTCACTGATCAGTTCGGCTAGAACACAACTCTCTTGGTTTGAGAAAAATCATTTGAGGTATGATATTTTGCTAAGTTAGAAATAGATTTTAGTTTTTTTGTCTTCCTATGTGTTGATTGGATGATTTATGTGTTTACTTGATGTTAGAAAATCATTTAATTGGTAGTTACTTTGAAAAACTTAGAATTAGTGGTTTAAGTACTTTTGTATTTTTTGAGTTTCTTAATAATTTGTTGTTATGGTAAAGGTGAATATTACTTATGTGTTGGATTATTATGTTCTAACTTATGTTCATGTAGAAAAACTCTTGTTGCTTGAGTGTTATGATTTATTACATGAGTTGGTAAATTGTGTATTTGTATGTAATTTTTTTGAGAAATTGTGAAAGTAATGAATATGAAGCTCGATCATATGTTCAATCCATTAAATGGTGATTCACATTCATGTAAATAAGGTGTTTGATAAAATGTTTCATAGAATTCACATTGAGAAAAATAAAGGCATCTTGCATACATGAATCCTTAGAATATAGTGTGAGTTGAGCATTTGGTGTTATGCATTATGAGGGTGTAGATCTTATGGTGAAAATTTTAAAATCTGGCCAATGACAGTACTCGCGGGCTGATGGGACCGGACCGTGAAGCGAGACATAGGTGACATAAAGTTGCACAGGGTTATAGTTTTTAAAAATATACACTTGCACATACCACATCTTAAATTTGTTTCTAGCATTAACATTTTGTCATACCAGCAGTTGAGCTGACCTATTTATGGGATATCATATTATAGATGAGGCTCCCGATACTTGAAACTTGAGAAAGTTTTAAAGAAAAGAGGGGAAAGAGACTTGAATAGATATTTGACTTTTGGGATATATTTTGTATGTATGAGATAAGCTCAAATGATTTGTATTTCAATTTAAAAAAATAATAGATTTAGACATTGAATAATTTGAATGTGTAATGATGTTAACACAGTTGATATGTAATTTTAAAGTGTAATGATGTGACAAAAAAACTAAATGTTAACTCCCTATGAGTTTTCTCTAACTACTTGGTGTACTTCACAGGAACTACTGATAACAATAGTGGGCAATCCATCAAATGCCGTCGAATGGGCACTTGCAGAGATGATAAATCAGCCCCAGACCATTGAAAAAGTCATAGAGGAACTAAACAGAGTGGTTGGAAAAGGGAGACTAGTTGGAGGCGGGTGGCTGATCACCTGAGTGGTGGGCGGTGGCTGATCGCTGAGAGTGAGTGATGGCTGGTCACCCGAAGTGTGAAAAGGAGATGGGATCTACGATGGATTTAGGGCAAATGACCCAAAAAAAGGTTTTTTCTAATATATGCTTGAAATTTCAATTGGCCGGTTTTTTCAAACTATCCGGTTCACGAGTTTGATCCAAAATCAACCGGTTCAACGGTTTTCAAACTGTTTGTTTCCTTATGCGGTCTAACTAGAAAATCGAACTATTTTAAATACCGATTCAAGGTCCAATCTATCCAATCTAATTTTAATAACACTGTTTTGGAGTTTCCTCATATGAAATTTATACCCAATTAGTCCTTATCAATGGCGATCTCAAAAAAAAATTTAAACAAATTGATTAATTTTTTTATATTCATATTTTTGTTCCCTCTAAATTTAAACCCTGGCTCGGAACCCACCAAAAAGTAACATAGCTGCATCTGTAATTTGGAGGATAAGTTTATAGTATCAAAAATAATTTTCGGTAATTTATTGAAAAATAATTTTTACTTGTAAATCTACTTACTTTGATTTTATCTGTTACCATTGGTGATAAAATTAATAAAATACAGAAATTTTACACAAAATTTGGTATTATATATAAAAATAAATAAATTTTCGATTTAGTTGAACATAGGGGTGTCAATTTTATCTACAAAATTGAATCCAACATGACACAAAATTTGAAAATGACCTGATTAATTAACAAGTGAAGTAAATAAGTCAAATTAAATTTAAATATGAATAATATAATTAATGAGTATTATTGACAAAAAGTAGATAATTAATAGGTACTATAAACAGAAAATAGTTACTTTATATTTTTTTTAAAAAAAATTAATAATATTATATAAATTAAATAATTTTTTATTAACATAAATATTTATAAATATAAAACTTACATGACATAAAAATAACACTACATAATTGATACCAAAACACTTGTGTTTGGATGGATAATAAATCACTCACAAAAATAATAAATTTTTTAATTATAAAATAACTCATAAAAATTATAAAAATACTCATTAAAATAATAAAATTTAAAATTACGGTGCCAATTTTTTTTTTTTTTCTTTACCAGTAGTCAAGTTCTGAACTGAAAACAGTCGGTTTCTGATTGCTTATTCCAGAAGTTTCCCTTGCCAACTGTCCCACGCAGCCAGAACACAAGTGAGATTCTGATTGCTCAGCCTTCTGTCTCACTGCTCATCTCTCTCTCTCTCTCTCATTGCTGCGTTGCGTGCCCGTAGAGAATGTGAACAAAGTCAAGCCAGGGAAAGGACGATGTACCCTTTAGCAGACAGAGCAACCAGGTCAGACCCATCACGGCGTGAATGATTAAAGTGTTTTGTCTTTTTGCCCAAAAGGGAATCTGGGTCCCACTATCATCACCATCATATCGCATCATCATATATGTACGTGGACGAATGTCAATTGTGTGGGGTCAGGTAGGACATGGGTCCTTGACGCGTTAGATATGAACCGTTTGATAAAATCATATCGTGATTTTCTAGAGAGAACTACGAGAATGTGGCCTCTTTCTAATGCCCTCAATTGATGATGACGGATAGAACTGTGAAGGGGGCGGGGCAGGCCCAAACACTGTTCATTCGACCCGTAAATTTGGTAGGTCCGACTTTTGTATGAAAATGATTCGGGTTTAACTTGAACCTTTTTGCAGGTTTGAATTTGAGTTTGGGTTAAATTTGAAAAATGTTTTAGGCTTTAAAGGTATTTTACCCGGTGGTTGAAAGTAATTATATCAGTAATAAATATATTTTTGATAATATATAAATAATATTAATAGTAGATAGATTACAGTAAAATCGACTTTAATGATTTGAATATGTTTACAGAAAATGTAATATTATAGCAATGAATAATCTTGATGTAATTCTTATTTGTAGTAATGGAAGAGATGGAACTAGACTAAAATTAATTTTAAATAAAATAATAAAAAAATAAGAATATACATTTTAACAAAAGTTATGATTTTTAATAGAACATAATGAAGAAATAGAATTCAGATAAACAATTCTAAATAGGTGGAACAAGACTTTCTTAAGTATATAACAAGCACTAAGCAACTTAGTTTACTATGTGGCTAAAGCAAAGGACATCATAGACTTGAGTAACAATGGGCCATAGTGGCACTGTGGCATCATAAGCCTTGCATGATTTGTTTAGTTAGAGGTGACAACTGTGTCATATCGAAACATGTACGTAATGTAAATTTGAATTCATGTCGAACACTAATCAAAATTATATATCACCTTTATTTTTAGCTATTAGATCCAACAATCTCTTGTTTTCTTCCTATCAAATTATTGTTGACTGCTGATAGGCCTAATAGCCACTACTGTGTGCCAACATGTAAGCCCGGAGCCTCCCCAAAAGTGGGTCGGGCCGAATTAGCTCATAGCCCAATGCCTTGGAACAAGACCCAGTCGCTTGGAGACGTGACCAATTCAAAGGTAGAAGTTAACAGTGAGCCCTGATATTGGATCTTAAGATTATAAATGGGTTTTTTTTTTGTGCAGGTACAATTTTTTTAGATTTATTTGAGATAAAGTGTATGAATAAGTATTTTATTTTATTAAGTTTAATTTTAATAAAAAAATTTGTGATTAAGTACAAAATTCAAATGACATTTAAATTTTTTTACTTATTTACTGATGATGCACAAAAATGATTTTGCACACTACCTGTCAAGTGTAGATAATAAATGCAGTGAAATCAATGAAGGAATTAAAGAAGACACAATTTATAGTGGTTCGGTCAATTCGACCTACGTCCACTCTTCAATGGCTTCAGTTGCCGGGTATTTTATTAATTCAGAGGTATAGAGAATAGAGATACAAGTTTTGAGAGAATGAAGAATCAAAGAAGAAAGTGGTCTCCGGTCGTTGGTCTGTCCTCTGTAAGTGTTGGTGGGGCGTGACCTTCATCTCCCGTCTCCTCCAGATTGGGGCTACTTTATAGCAGCTAAGAGATCATTCTTGTGGAGATCATGACTTATCCTCAATGCTACTTTATCGTAGCTAAGAGATCATTTTGGTGGAGATCATGACTTATCCTCAAGGCTACTTTATCGCAGCTAAAAGATCATTCTGGTAGAGATCATGACCTATCCTCAACGGAAGGAGGAGGTTGGGGAGCTCTTCATGAAACGTGGTCAAAGCTTGGACCGTTTCCTTCGATGGTGCAGATAAGTTTCCCATGCTCTCCTCTTGATGACGTGCTAAGCAAAAAGTCTAACCGGTCTTGGACTGTCTTGGGCTTGGTAGATTCAAAATGAGGTTGGGCTCCTCAACTGAAGTTGGACTTTAACACATGAATTGGACTATTTGGGCTTAACCCATCATTTGCCCCCTAATGCCCCATGTCCAATGAGACTTGGAGAAGGAGGCATTGACCATATTATTATTATTATTATTTTTTTTTTTTTTTTTAACTTCAAGTCTTTCCCACTTTATTTTGAAGAGGGAGTGGTGGAGGTTGAAGAAAGTGAGGAAGTAGGCACCATTTTGGAGAACTTGGAGGCTGGTTTTGAGCATTCGAATGCTGTTTTGGACAGCTTTGGGGCTGTAAATGAAGGGCTGGACAGCGAAGGGGAGATGTGCAGCGCGAGGAATGGCTTGGATAGCGAAGGAAAAAGGCTGAGTGCGCGGCTACGCAGCACAGGCGCGCAGCTGGGCAGCTCGCGCGCGCGCGCGGTGGGGGGCTGGGCGGTTGCCTGGGCTCTGCTCCTCCTGTCCTGGACAGCCCAGACGCGCTGGGCAGCTGCCTGTGCGCTAGCCTTGCTGTCCTGGACAGCCCAAGTGCGCTGGGCAGCAGCCTGGCTGCTGCGTCTGCTGTCTCAGACAGCTCAGCTGTGCTGGTCAGCTTTAGTTCTGCTGCGCTGGGCGGCTTTGAAATGTTGGGCAGCAGCATTTTTCCATCAAGGGGCACTGAAAATCAGACCAAGGTTCATCAGGGAGAGCTAGGGAGTGGCCTGGGAGCACGGGCTGATCTGATTCCCACTCAAGGTGCTGATTTTTACGCCGAAAATTCTGCTTTGCACAATTTTGAAGGGTCAGGCACCCTTCAAGCTACTGGGCAACTTTGTTTTGATGAGCAACAGTAGTCAGGCACACTTCTAGGCGTTGGGCTAGACATTGCAAGTAGTAAGAAAGCTTTGGGTGCTGCTCTTGATGATCAAGCCCTTCTCCAGGTGCTGGGCGCCTTGGGTGAGCCTGGGGCAGCCTCGGGAGAACTTGCTTGTGATGACAAAAATAATGTTATTCCAAACATTAAAATATCTCACATAATTACCTGGAGAGAGAGAAGTAGGCTGCTTGCGCAAGAACAAAGACAGAGTTGGAAAACTGCTCGTGAGAGAGCTACACTTTTTGAGACCTAGCTTTTGGCGACCCATGAGGGAGTCTTTAAACTTGAGGTATAAGCTGCCTGTTTGAGAACAGTGCAGAGGCCAAGCTTTTTTGGCGACCCCCAAGAGAGCCGCTAAGCTAGAGATAGACTGTCTAACAGTGTAGAGGCCAAGTTTTTTTTTTTGGCGACCCGTGAGAGAGCCGCTAAGCTGGAGATAGGCTACTTGTTTGAGAACAGTGCAGAGGCCAAGTTTTTTTTTTTTTTTTTTGGCGATCCGTGAGAGAGCCGTTAAACTGGCAATAGGCTGCCTGTTTGAGAACAGTGCAGAGGCCAATTTTTTTTTTTGGCTACCCGTGATAGAGCCGTTAAACTGGCAATAGGCTGCCTGTTTGAGAACAGTGTAGAGGCCAAGTTTTTTTTTTGGCGACCCGTGAGAGAGCCGCTAAGCTGGAGATAGATTGTCTGTTTGAGAACAGTGCAGAGGCCAAGTTTTTTTTTGGCGAGCCGTGAGAGAGCCGCTAAACTGAAGATAGGCTGCCTGTTTGAGAACAGTGCAGAGGCCAAGTTTTTTGGCGACCCGTGAGAGAGCCGCTAAACTGGAGTTAGACTGTCTGTTTGAGAACAATGCAGAGACTAAGTTTTTTTGGCGATCCCTGAGAGAGCCGCTAAACTGGAGATAGGCTGCTTGTTTGAGAACAGTATAGAGGCCAAGTTTTTTGGCGACCCGTGAGAGAGCCGCTAAACTGGAAATAGACTGTCTGTTTGAGACCAGTGCAGAGGCTAAGTTTTTTTGGCGATCCCTGAGAGAGCCGCTAAACTGGAGATAGGCTGCCTGTTTGAGAACAGTGCAGAGGTAGGTCAAGTTTCTGGTGATCTGTGAGATGATTCACCTTGCCCAAACTTGTTGATTTCCTCAGCATTCATATATCTTTGAGCTTTTGTGAATAGTTCTGGCATGCTCTTTGGTAGTTGCTTTATTACTGAAAAAAGGAATCTGGATGAGCAGAGACCTTCCAGGAAGGCAGTCATGGCGACTTTGTCATTGGGTTCCTCGATTTGGAGGACTTCCACGTTAAAACGAGTGAGGTAACTCCTTAGACTCTCATTACGATCCTGTTTTATGCTGAGCAGATGGATGACAGGCTGCTGCTGGCGGCGTCCACCAATGAATTGTGTCACAAAGGATCTGCTCAATTCGGCGAAGGAGCCTATGGAGGCCGGGGTGAGTTTGGCGAACCATTGTTGCGCTGATCCCTTCAAGGTAATTGGGAATGTCCTACACATAATTTCGTCGGGGACGCTGTGTAGTTGCATCATGGTCTTAAAAGTTTCGAGGTGATCAAGTGGGTCCTTCGTACCGTCAAAGGTTTCAACGGATGACATTTTCATAGTGTTGAAAATGTCGTCTAATTGATTTTGTACCTCTTTTATTTTTTTGTCTCAGTGGTTGGGAGCTCCTTTGGAATTATCTTGGAAATGACTTTCATGCTCCATGCTCTGGTTCTCACCCTTGTCCTCTTGGAAAAGAAAGCCCCCACCATGATAAAAGGGAGCTAGAAAAGGAGGTGGAGGTCCCCCGTGGGGAGCTCCCCTATGAAGGGCACCCCAAGGGAACTCCAAAGGGGGCGCCCAAATAAGGAGCAACAAGTTGTGGAGCTGCTTGATGTGCAGGGCGTGGAGCTGCTTGATGTGCAAGGCGTGGAGCAACTTGATGTGCAGGGCATGAAGCTCTTTGATGTGCAGGACGTGGAGCTCCTTGGGGTGCTCCATGTTGTGCACCTCCGTGGGGCCCTCCATGTTGTGCATCTCCGTGTTGTGCTCCTCCTTGGGGTCCTCCATATTGTGCACCTCCGTCAACAAGTTGTGGAGCTACTTGATGTGCAAGGTGTGAAGCTCTTTTATGTCCAGGACGTGGAACTCCTTGAGGTGCTCCATGTTGTGCACCTCCGAGTGGTGCTCCTCCTTGGGGTCCTCCATGTTGTGCACCTCCGTCAACAAGTTGTGGAGCTGCTTGATGTGCAAGGTGTGGAGCTCTTTTATGTCCAGGACGTGGAGCTCCTTGGGGTGCTCCATGTTGTGCACCTCCGAGTGGTGCTCCTCCTTGGGGTCCTCCATATTGTGCACCTCCAAGTGGTGCTCCTCCTTGGGGTCCATGTTGTGCACCTCCGAGTGGTGCTCCTCCTTGGGGTCCTCCATGTTGTGCACCTCCAAGTGGTGCTCCTCCTTGGGGTCCTCCATGTTGTGCACCTCCGAGTGGTGCTCCTCCTTGTCCAGCAAGTATGAGTTGTAATAACTGTTGGTTTTGAGCAAGCAGTTGTTGCATGATCTCCAACTTTTGCTGGGGATTCGGAGCTAGAATATCCGGGACAGAGTTGGTAGGCGGGGGAGCAATCTCTTCCTCTCGCGGAGGATTGTCTTCAGGTTGGTTCATGGATCGGGTAGTGATCGCCATTAGTTCAATAGATGTAATGTTCAGGAGTGAGAATTTTGTCGTTTCTCACAGACGGCGCCAAACTGATGATGCACAAAAATGGTTTTGCACACCACCTGTCAAGTGTAGATAATAAATGCAGTGAAATCAATGAAGGAATTAAAAAAGACACAATTTATAGTGGTTCGGTCAATTTGACCTACGTCCACTCTTCAATGGCTTCAGTTGCCGGGTATTTTATTAATTCAGAGGTATGGAGAATAGAGATACAAGCTTTGAGAGAATGGAGAATCAAAGAAGAAAGTGGTCTCCGGTCGTCGGTCTGTCCTCTGTAAGTGTTGGTGGGGCGTGACCTTCATCTCCCGTCTCCTCCAGATTGGGGCTACTTTATAGCAGCTAAGAGATCATTCTTGTAGAGATCATGACTTATCCTCAAGACTACTTTATCGTAGCTAAGAGATCATTTTGGTGGAGATCATGACTTATCCTCAAGGCTACTTTATCGTAGCTAAGAGATCATTTTAGTGGAGATCATGATCTATCCTCAACGGAAGGAGGAGGTTGGGGAGCTCTTCATGAAACGTGGTCAAAGCTTGGACCGTTTCCTTCGGTGGTGCAGATAAGTTTCTCATGCTCTCCTCTTGCTGACATGCTAAGCAAAAAGTCTAACCGGTCTTGGACTGTCTTGGGCTTGGTAGATTCAAAATGAGGTTGGGCTCCTCAACTGGAGTTGGACTTTAACACATGAATTGGACTATTTTGGCTTAACCCATCATTTACCCTTTTTAAAATTTTTATTCTCTCCATCTCTCTCCTTATTTTCTCTCAATATTTCTCTCTCTCTCTCCCTCTCTCACTATATCTCCCATATTTTCTCTCTCTATCTACCATTAATAATTTATTTTCTTTAAATATGTAAAGATTTGATTTTTTTAATCTCTTTTTCTCCTATTTTCTCTCTCTCTCTTCCCCCATGTGTTTCTTTCACCGTTTCTCTCTCCCTTGATATCAATATTATAACAACACAATTATACTAATCAGGTAAATCAATCAGTTACAATTTTCATATAATACACTAAATAGCTACTTATACGTTTTAATAAACTAAACAATTATACAAAATTATGGCATCAACTTAATTGTCATTTAATTGTTTACATAAACTAAATAATTGTATTATTTAGTATTGCGACATCGTTATACCAATTATATATACCAATTTTAGTATAATAGTAAAGTCTTTTGTATAATGATAAACCAATTTGGTGTATATAATTGGTGTAATTTTATCGTGATACTACATGGTGTAACTATTTAATTTATATAAATAACTTAATGACAAATTGAATTAGTGTTGTAATTCCATGTAATTGTTTAGTGTAACTGTTTGGTTTATTATAATATATGAGTAATTGTTTGGTATATTATATTGTAATTGTAATTAATTGGTGTTAATTGATTAGTGTAATTGTATTTATTATAATATTAATATAATAAGCGAGAATAAGGAAATAAGAGGAGAAAGAGCAAGAGCAAGAGAGAGAGAGAAAAAATAGGGGAGAGATAGATGAAAAAATTAAATTAAATATTTACATATTTAAAAAAAATTAAATAATCAATGTGAGAGAAAGAGATGGAGATAGATAGATAAAAAGAAAATAGGAAAGAGAGAGTAAAAGAGTAACAGAGAGAGAAAGAGAGAAATTAAGTAATAAATGCCCTTTTAGTTATTTTTTTAAAAAATGCATTTAAAATCAAATAAGTTTATTTGATATAGTTTAACTTAAATAAGTCTAAATTTTTGTACCGACTTCCAAATTATCCATTATAAATTGGAACCTCATTATCCCCTCCTTGTGATAATAGTGTCTAAAAAAACTTAGACAACAGGTCATAAAATAAAAACTTTAAGCAGCCATTTTAAATTTTGAAGATAGAGGAGACAAATTAAAATGCGTGTGCAAGTTTAGGGGGCATATATGTAGTTTATCAAAGAGAAAAACAGGCGTAAAAGGGCAAAAAAGAAACAAAGCGACGGCCATCCTCTCTTCTCTCTCTCGGAAGGAAGTCATTAAGCAAGAAAACATGTTAGGGTTCAATTCTGTCATACACCCATCTTTATCAATTTCATCCCCAAACCCATCGATTTCCAGGTCCCTTACAATCATTCGCACCCTAAACTTGCCATCTTTACCCTTCAAATCTCGATTGCAACAGAACCCTAGAAAATTATCGACCCATGCAGAGAATGGTAAGGGCAATAATAGTAATGGGGGTGTGAACACAGATACGGAGGAAAGAGAAAAAAGAGAGAATGGGTTCAACGTTAATAACGGTGGCAGAGAAGAAGATGTGAAGAAGGAAGAGGGAAATGGAGGGCCCAGATTCAATCTAAAGTGGGTCAATCTGTTGTTGGACCCAGACCCAGATAACATCCTAGCCGTTGGATTGACGGGTGTTCTTGCTTGGGCAAGTTTGCAAGTGTTGGGGCAGCTCTTCTTCATATCATTGGCTATTTTGCTTGCTGCTCTCAAGTATTCCTTCATTGCTGCTCTTCTCATTTTCATCCTTATTACCCTCCTTTGAGGTCACTTATATATATGTTTTTACCTAAATTTAACCTGCATATTAGTGTTTTACAGAATTTTTTTTTTTAGTTGTATAATTGAAGAACATGTCCTTTTAAGCCTAAGATTCTAATTATTAAAGTCGGTTACAAAATTGAAGAAATATTATTTTATTTTACCCTTTGAATTATACAATTTTTTTTTTATTTTGTACCGATCCATTGTTAATTTTTTTCAAAAAATATAGGGCATATTTGCTTTGCATTTGAAGAAATGTGGATTAATTCAAATTTAAGCGATAAAATAAAATCAAGTCCATAATTAAAGGATTAAAAGTATAATTTGTCAGATATTGAAATTAAGAGAATACCTTGTGATTTGACACTGTATCTAATCCAGCTGATATAGTTGGGTTAAAATGATATGGAAGGAATTTGTATCCATTCATTTCTTATATTATAAAATTAAACACGTTAGATTGGGGTTTTAAAATTTGTATTCCTTCTAAATTAATGGCTAATTTCATATTCTTAATTATTACATGTATATCATATGAATTAATGGTGTCAAAATTACATTAATACAACACAAAATTAAAAGATTTAAGTTACCTATTTCGTAAATGAATGGACCCGATATGACATAATTAATAAATAAATCAAATATTAGTGAAATTAATTAAAAAAAATGAATGACACACCTCGTTTATATACAAAATATACATGATTCATACAACACAATTTATTATAAATGAATTAATAAAACAATCAAGTATGAATATTTTTTTGACATGAATTCACTAAGACCCGACTCACATAACATGGTAGACAGACCTAATATGAATGGTATTAAACCACAAAGATATAGCATGGAAGACAAAGGTATGCTGGGGCCAGGGCAAAAACGTTTTATCCTCATTTTGAAAGAGATTAATTTTTAGAACCCAAGCCGAGACATATCCCTTGGAATAATGAAACTCTTTTGGACAAAATGGAAGATCATTCTTCCGTTAATACAAAAACATAGCAGCGTTAGGTACCAGCAATGAACAAGATACTATTATGCTACGTTGGGTATAATGAAAAAGTGAGAGGATGAAAAGTTGAAAGAATAGAAAGTTGAAAAGATAAATAAAACATCATATTTGGTAAGAAGAGAAAGTAGGAAGGATAGAAAAGTAGATGAATTAACTTTCCTTTAAACTCACCAAAATCAATCTCTCCAAAATCGGAAGGAAAGTGAATGAAAAATTAATTATTTATATTAAAATATATCTTATTTGTCTATATATCTTTTTATATATACATATATTATGTATACATTAATTTCATATAAAAATATAATAGTATAAATATAATTTCATATATATTACTATTATATTAAAAATAAAATTAAAAAATTAAAAATTAAAAAAATTAAAATTTTAAATTAAAAAAAATATTTTTTTCATCTTAACTAAGGGTAAAATTTTTTGACTTAATACAATAATGCGATTCGAACTCGATATAAAAATAAACATGTCAACTCGCAAATCGACAAGACACAATTAGTTAAATGAGTTAAAATAGGTTTAACTAATATTCGACACAAATCTATAATGACTCAACATGAATCTGACACGACACGACTCGATTGTCACTCCTAATCATAACTAACAAAAAAAAAAAATTGTTATTTTTATTTTTCATCCATCCAACCAAACACAAAGGAAGGAAAGTGTATCATTCCTATTTTCCATCCTTGAAGAATAAAAAATGTATCTCTCCTACTTTTCATCCTTCCTACCAAACGGAACATTAGTATACTAACCATCCGGAAGTTATTAAGTTGCAGTTTGGGTTCATCATCCCATGCTAGGGTCGAGCCTTTCATTCGTGAAGTAATTGTAGTCCTGTTGGTATTTTGTATCAATAGGTAATGTTGCTTACAATTTCTGCCTCCTGCAGGAGAATCTGTGATTTGTACTGTGTGATGCTGCAATCCAACAACATTCTGAAGCAGAAACATGCACCAGATGTTCGAAAATGGAAAAAGTAACAAAAATATACAACTGGTGAAAAGATCAACAATCAGACTGGTTTTTTTCCAGGAAAAAAAATGCAGTTATCAGCCCAATTATTGAACTTGGCACCATACAGAACAAACACGTAGGTAGGCTGGCCACATTAAGAGACCAAAACTTTGGAACATTTCCCACTAAAGCAATTTCATAAAAAAATACAGGTGGTTTGTTCGCACAACCAAAATTTAAGGTTGTAGGCCTAAAACAGACTTCTATGATCCGTAAGCCAAGAAACAACCAATTAATCAGCTGAAAGATCACACTCCGTAACAGAGATAGATATAACCTAAACTTTCAGAACATAATACAGCTACTAGTGCATCTCTTTGTTCTTGTGTCCACAACCAACCTAACCGATGGTGAGGGAAATGCAAATAAAGCTCATTATTTATATTTTAAAGAAAATATCTGTGCACCCAGTGGCAAAAAACATACCTCTCTATTCCTACAAAGATCTACTCTTCCTCAAACCTAATCTTCTTTGGAGTGGGCTGGATGCTACCGACCTGCAATAAAAACAAAGTATACAAACAGGAGTTAAAGCAACAAATTCCGGGCAATTTTTTTTGATAGGAAACATAAACTTTGTATTAATAAAAATGTAATGTACATCAAAAAAGTTGGATAAGAATCCAACCATGAATTAGAAAAAAAATAATGGAAAAAGGAAAAATGACATAAAAGCCTATAAATCATATGAAACTCTCCAATCCCACTAGAATAGCAAAAAATGGTATTCTTTTATAGTCCTTGGTTAACAATGCCCAAAAAGACACTAAATAATAAATTTGATCCCATAATTCTTCCTACCATTCCGCTCCGATCTTCAAAACTTTTTGCATTTCTTTCCTTCCAAATGACCCAAAATGCAGTAAAGATAGCACAATACCAAAGAGTCACCACTTTATCAGACCTTTCAAATCTTCAATAAACATGGATATGGATGATTTAGGAATCACACAACTTATACTTGTCAAGCCAAACAACTTATTCCACAAGGACATTCCAATAGAGGGCACTGTAAAAATAAATGATCAATACTTTCCAAAGCCCCTTTACACATCACACACCACTGTGGGGAATGACAATTATAAGGTTTCTTTTTTGAAGCAAATCATTGATATTAATCTTACCATGTGCGACATTACATGCTAACCCCTTGCAAATTAATGGGCACCTAGGCCCCCCATACCATTGAAGCTGGTGTGAAAGGAAAAGACATCAAATTCCAAGTGTCTCGACCTTGTAGATTCCTAGGAAAACTAAAATACCAAGAGTACAAATGATTATACGACTAAAGCATAGCAAAAATGGATGCTCCATGAGATTTAGACAATTAATAGAGATGCTGAAACAAAGATGAAAAAGAAGACTCTTCAACCTATCTTCCCAAAAACGAATTCTCTCCTCACAACTAACTTAAAATTATGGAAAAACCTCCTAACTCCCTGGGATATAAACTTCCACGAGCACCAAAACTTTACCCTTTCCACCCTATTAGGGTTTCATTCATTAACTTGTGATTCATATTTGCTTTTGATAACCAAATGTCATAGAGAATTTTGTTCCAAGAGAAATCTCCAAAGTCATTCTGCCCACTAAAACAATATTTCTTGTCTTCAACTTTTCAATTAAAAGACCCTTTTTATCCCTAGATCTGGACACTATCTCCCAACTAATTAAATGATCCTTCCTCCCCTCATCACATCTTTCTCACAAGAAATCTACCATCATTTTTTCAATTTCCATATCTATTTTTCTAGGCATTTTAAATAAAGATAAAAAAAATATATATATATTTTCTATCTATCTG